ACTGGTGGTTCCTACAATAAATTATATAATTATATATTAAACCTTTTTTGTGACAAGAAGCCAGACAGATGGAATACCCCAGTATGCAATCTGTCATGCATGGGTTAATAACTTCATTATACTTTAGCTTGCTTAAATGCTTCATGTGTGACGAGTGTGTCCTTTTTTAATTTTATACAATTTATTTGTAGATTTCAATAGAAATTTGCACTTTTTGGAAAAAATTATTAACCTGTTTACACCCCATTGCCTTTCAATCAGACAACAGGTAATGTCACTTCCTGGTTTGGTTAGCTCAATGGAGCGAAACTCAAGAGGCAGCAATTGTTTAGAGTACCTGCCTTCTCATTTGAGCTGCATGGGGAAGTCTGTGATTGGACAGCCAAAGCAAGTCTGGGCACGATTATTAGGGGAGACATCAGCAGCTTTTGACAGTTTTTTTAGACATACATGCAATGGGTTTGTACACTGACTGTCAAACCTTACTCCAAAATAAAAGATATGGACTAAACCTTGAACTTGACTTAGTGTGTATTACATTTGTGGCTAACACACTACAAATCACTGTTAAGTACATAAATCCCTCTAATTTAACCATGCTTTTCAATATTGGTATTAAGCTTGCAGTACTTGTAGCATCTGTTATTAAATGCTTTGCCAAGAGCTGTTTTGCTTACTGCAAACAATCCAAAATATGACAAGATGCACTAGCCAGGAATCTGTCTTTCTATAAACAGATTTCCCTATTTAAGTGGCTGAGCGGAAAAAGCAGCTACCAACAGGCAAAAAGCATTTATTGTTGGATTTTTCCTCGGAAAAAAACTCAATAGAGCAAGTGAATGCAACTGCATTGTACAACTGTAATGAAAATGGGAACACATAACAATACAGATTTATACTCAAACTAAGAAACTTTCCATACTTTTCATGACATTGATTTTCTCTGGGTATGGAGAAATGGAACTAGTGTTTAGCACTACCCATTCTCTGGTCGTCACCATACTTGTAGTTAGAGGCCATACTATTCACTGGGGTGTATCATTTAAAATAAAATAAAAAACACATTTACTTAAGAATGAGCCTGCAACGAAACACTGCTGCCTCCACTATATAAATTATAAGTCTAGAAGTTTATGGTCATCTATAAAAAAATTCGAGTTCAGGTATTTCAGCCTCAAATATGCCACCCAACATCTAAATTTTGGTGGTATGCCCCGATTTTTGGGCAAGGTCGTGCTGTCCCAACTTTTTACCTGGTGTCTTACTTTTGGGGACAACATGGAACTGTCATTAGACAAGCCCGTGCTAAATCAAGGATAGAGGGCCCTGAAGAGAACACTGCATGGTTCGCCCTTAGCGTGATGACCTGCTTGATTGGCAAAGCAGCTTCACATGCATTCATGCCAGACAGACCTGCCCCCACTTTTCACATGGATCTGCCCATTCGCATAGAGCCAGTGGTGTGATCCAGTCACTGTCCCACACTTTTTGCCCTCACCCATTCGCATCCCACTTGGAACACCAATCTTGGCATGTATGGCCTCACCCAACTCAACAGTTGCATAAAATCCAGTACACAGCCATGACATCTCAATAGGCAAACATTGACAGCACAATGGGATGTACAGAAGAGGTCAAATACTTTAATTGTGGCATTGTCATAGAAGGCTTGACAGCCCTGATTACTTCACTGTCCCCTTAGACAGGCAGCTGTGCACAGTGAAGGAGATGGTGAGGGAGCTATAATATTCCTCCTTTTCTTGCTCTGTTCCCTTGTGCCTTCTGCTCTGATACTAGGAAAAGGAATATGGGAGGTTATTGTGCATGCACGGCAAAATGCTGAACCAATCAGCATCTCCTCATAGAGATGCATTAAATCAATGCATTGTCACGTTTACATCCTCTCCATAAGCTATGCACAACAAAAATCACCCTTCCAGGAATAGAAGTGCTGCTTGGCGGTCCTATGCCATAAGACCGGGCTTTTGCGACATACCAGTGGTCGCCGGCCACTGCAGATCCTCGCTGTTATGTAGCCCCACGTCTGTTCATGATGGTAGCGATGTCGACATGTGGATGACGTCACGCAGAGGACGTGCACGCACGTTTTGGGGTCAAAGATCGGATACGGCCAATCAGATTCACAAGAGGTATATTTAAACTCACTAATTTCTTCCACTCATTGCCCTGTCGTGGTTTCCCTTTGCTGGTTATCAGAGAGTGTGTTCCTGATCGTGTTTAATTGGTTATTGACTTTGGCTTCGCTCTGACTATTGGCTATTCCTTGCAACTGTGTTTCGCTCTGTGTTCCTGACCTCGGCTAGTATTTAGACTATTCTCTGGTACGTTAAGTCCAGCCATTCTAAGGTCCGGTTAGACGTTATCCTTATTCCTAAATGTGATACTAATACTGCATGTTTGATCAATTGTAATCCTGACATGCATCTCTTTGGGGGATGTTCAGCATGGAGATGATAAACGTAGGTGCTGCACTACACTGCACTGGGCAGCACTGGACTAAAAATCACCTTTAGTGGCTGTCTTAGTGACTGCCACAAGAGGTCTTACTAAACAGCAAAGTAAACGGTCTATAGACACCAGAACCAGTACATTGAGCTGTTGTGTGTCTGGTGACTATAGTGTCCCTTTAAGAATTGTATTTTGGTTGTTGAAAATTAAGCTTTATTTTTTTTTAAAAACGAATCTGGCTCCTAACATTTTTAGCTAGTACCTAAATGCACAGCAAATTTGTCAAGCCCTGTCATAGGAAATAATTTTTCATTTTAAATCGGTTTCTGTATCATCTGGCCTACTTTGTCTGCTCTGGTCAACTATAAGTGATATTATTGTGAAATAGAAGTATTTAGGAGCAAGAACAGACCAGCCATGAAGGTGTAGACTATGCATAAACGCAGAACAGGAGGTACTGAGTGCTGAAGCATATAAAGCACATAAAGATTCCATCATCTATTGCAGTGGTTCCCAATCCAGTCCTCAAGTACCCCTAACAGTCCAGGATTTAGGAATTACCCAGTTGTGTCTAAGGTGTTTTTAGGGAAAAAAAAACACTTTAGACACAAAAGGGTAATCCCTAAATTTAGGACTGGGTTGGGAACCACTAATCTATTGCATCACTCACTGCAGAATTCTAAATTGCCCCCGGAAATAATGTCAGCAGAAGAACTGTGCATTAGGAACAAAATCACAAAATGTGTTTCCATTGCCAAGCAGCTGTATGCAAGCCTTACATTAACATGCGCAAAGTGAGATCTATGAAGGCATGGGCTAGTGAGTTTGGTGTTGAGGAACTTGAGTGGCCTGCACAGATCCATGACCTCAATCCCACTGAATGCCTTTGGAATTGCTGACCGTGAGCCTGACCTTTTCATCAAGCATCAGTGTCTAACCTCACAAATGCTCTTTTGGCTGAATATGCAGAAATTCCCACAACCCGAAACCACATCTTGTGGAAAGCGAAAGAGTTAATTCATATTAAAGGGTTACTCTAAGCATCACACACAGAGCACTTTAGCAAGCTGTGCCCCTTTAAGCTGTTTATTAATAATTCTAAATTTCAAGGACATGCTTGAAAATTGGGAAATGCAAAATGTACCATTTCTCTTACATAATTACACACCACAATTATGTGACATCAGGGTCCAAAGTTTCCACTAGTTTTCCCACTAGCCATAGGTGAATGAAAATGTAGAAACTCACCCTTGGTGAGGATTGCAGAGATGAGTAACTTTTAAGGACTGGCTAATAGCTTAAGACAAAGTTTTAAGCCCTGATGACTTTCCTGGTATGCCATTAGTCGTTTAGTTCATAAAACAAAAATGGGAGTTTATAAAGGTTATGAATTATCAACCCATTTTTTTAATTTTGTTTTTTTTGTCTATAGCAAAGAGTACAGAATGGGTATTTAAAAAAAATAAAAAATTATTATTTTAATTCCAAATAGATTTTACAAGCAATTTCTGTGCAAAATCTACTGAGGTGTTTGTTCGTGACTTTTGTGTCAAAACTGCATCAATTGTTCACCATGGCATAACACCAGCGTTGCATATATTGTGACCCGTTGCTCGGCACACTGTGTTTATGACACACTTCTTGGGGCAGTGGGTTATTTAGCAGTCAAAATCAAGGTTACATAGTGTAAGGCAGTGGCAATGAAAATGTGGCTATACATTTGATCCCATCCCACACTTGCTAGGCACTTGTTGAGAAAAGGTGCATAGTTTCGCTATAGTGAAGAATGGAGACGTGGCTATGAATGGAAAGATATGGTATACTTTCTGAACATATTTATATAATTTATATAAACATTGGGTAACATACCCAACAATCTTTTGTTGAGTTACACTGTATTCTCATAAAAATCAAAGTTCTGCAAAGGGTTCATCTTAAAGGGACACTACAGGCACCCAGACCACTTCTGCCCATTGGAGTGGTCTGGGTGCCAACTCCCACTACCCTTAACCCCTTAAGGACAGAACTTCTGGAATAAAAGGGAATCATGACGGAATATTTCCGTCATGTGTCCTTAAGGGGTTAAGTGTTTTTTACCTTGCAGGGTTAACTTCACCTCTAGCGGCTGTCTACTAGAGGGCACTTCCTGCTCTATAGCACAGAGGACCTCCAGTGTCGCTCAATTCCCCATAGCAAAGCATTGAAAAGCATTTTTAATGCTTTCCTATGGGGAGTTCTAATGTGCATGTGCGGCATTGCCGCGCATGCGCATTAGGTCTCCCCGGCTGGTGGGTGGGATCAGTCTCACCCATCGGCCGACGTAATGACTGGGAGGGGCAGCGAGAAGAAGCCACCGCCGAGGGACATCGGTGGGGTCTCAGGTAAGTAACTGAAGGGGTTTTCACTAGTGATGTCCCGAACGGTTAGCCGAACGGCTCGCGAACGGTTCGTCGCGAACGGTTCGCCACGAACGGTTCGCCACGGACTCATCATTGAGTAAACTTTGACCCTGTACCTCACAGTCAGCAGACACATTCCAGCCAATCAGCAGCAGACCCTCCCTCCCAGACCCTCCCACCTCCTGGACAGCTCACTAAGAATGCAGCTTCAAAATGGATGCTGTCCAGGAGGTGGGAGGGTCTGGGAGGGAGGGTCTGCTGCTGATTGGTTTGGAATGTGTCTGCTGACTGTGAGGTACAGGGTGAAAGTTTACTCAATGATGAGTCCGTGGCGAACCGTTCGGGACATCACTAGTTTTCACCCCTTCAGCTACCGGGGATTGGGAGGTGGGAGGGAGAGGGGACCTGCAGTGCCAGGAAAACAAATTGTTTTCCTGGCACTGGAATTTCCCTTTAACAAAATGAGCGTTCTGTTAGGGATACTGGTCATTGAGTCAAATACTAAATGATACACCTATATGTCAAAGGGAAATTTTAAAACAGGGTTAATGGAAATGTTTGCAGTAGTTTGTTTTTTTGGTTTTTTTGGTTTTTTTTGCTTCAACAATAAACATAAGGTATATTAAATAATCATTAAAATGCATACTTCATTTTTTATTTTTAAAATGGCTTTAACACTTTAATCTCTCACATTACAGTAAAGGATGATTTTTCTACAGTTGTATTTGAAATGAGGCATTTGGAAACATGAGAGCTGTTTGAAAATTAGCAAAAATAGATAGATAGATAGATAGATAGATAGATAGACATATGGAGAGCAAAAAGCAGGGAGCAAGAGCATACTGAGAACGGACAGCAGCTGAAATAGCCTGCCCTTCAGTGGGTCCCCCTCAGATCTCAAGCTGGTTTTAGCTCATCTTGTGCCATTACATAAAGACATATGTCAGACATAACAGACATAAAGTCACATCTAGGAAAGTAAATGTGTTTTGCGATTGGATTGCACCAAGCCAAGTAATTCCATGTCACAATGTTTCACAAACACAATCAATAGGCATGTGGCATTTAACTGGTTATTTATTAGATTGCAATAAATATAAAGTAATGAGTTTATATCAGTTGTCCTCATGTAGAACATATTTTAAATGCTGTAAGTAGGCCTTGACCTTTCAGTTACATCTTGAAAGTTTGACGTGCTGTGATTAGTTGCTATGGAGACACGCAGCCTATCGCTCCCAATACTAAATGCCTAAAAATTATGCTTCACACTTATCATTTTAAACATCAGCAAACCATGTTGTATTAATAGGGAAAGAACAAGCTAACAAGATATTCTGTACCAGGCACTACACAAAAGAAAATCTGTTCTAACTGCTAGGTATTGAGGCCACTGGAACACTTGGTACATTGACTTCTGAATTCCTATGATTTATTGATTTAATTGGAAAGCTTTTACTGCAACGCAGAAACAGACCATGTTTTATACAGTACTTCACAGGTATTCAATGGAGGTCAGGGATACATGCTGCTTCGCTGCGACATAGATGAAGAAACAGAGGTTTAATCAAAACTTAACTTAATCAAATCTTAACTGGAATTGCAAATAATTTACAAATTATATGCCAAAATAGCAAAATAAATTGGTAAATCCGCAATGTCCGCAATTGTTACTTGTCACAATTCCTAGTTTAATGACTATTCCCACAATTATAAGTAAACAGAGCTTGATTTACATCTCAGTTGCCTGTGGGCACAGAAGGCTCATGTCCCCCAAGAATAACAAAAAAAAAAAAACAACAATTATCTGCTGCTAGCTCTGTTATGTAGAAGAGAGTTGTGAAGTATATATATCTCACTCGCTCCCTCTGCAAATGAGAAAAAAAAAAGTAGGTAATTACCATATAGGAAAATGAAAAAGTATATCAAGATGTGCCTAAAAATGAAAAACGCGGGGGGCGGAGCCTGACAACCAACCTGTATAGACACCATTTTCCACAGCTCCCGGACCGTCTCCTGCAATCTTGTTAATATCACCCGACAGAGGGACCATCCGACCAAACAAGGCGACGAGGCGAACAGACCGATGCCCTTTTTTCAAGCCGTCAAGCAACCTAGGCAGCGGTGCAAAACTCCGGCCTACCACACAACGCCAATCCTCAACCTAAAGGCGCTTTTCGGCAGACAAGGGGAAGGCTGCGATTACCAGGCATTCTCTCCGCCGGACACACCAAACATAGGCCGCCGCACAATCAAACCTGCAGCCGGAGCCCGCTCCCAAGGTAGGGAAATAGGGGAAATGCTGCTCAGACCGGGTCCAGCCGCGCCAATACATGCAGACCCCCCACCAAACATGGCCCCCACCCCAGGGACAGAGGGACCCCAACTACACAGAACCCCTAGGAGGGACAAGCCATACCCCCAACCTCACCAAAGGACTCAGCCCCCACCACCAAAGGGGACCTAAAAGCGCTCCTGGCAGACATCCAGAAGCTTTTGGCCGCTGACGTAGCCCTGATCAAAAGGGACATGCAACAGGTCACAGAGTCACTAACACAGAACTGGACATAGCAAGAGTCCACAACACCATAACCACCCTGCAAGACTAGGTCCAACAGCTGCATACGGAACAACATGTACTAGCAGCACAAATAATGTCCCTAGAAGACAAACGCCGCACACACATTAAGATCCGCGGCATACCCAACACCATCACCACTGAAGAACTGCCGCACTACAAGCAGCGCCTCCTGTCGACCATCCTGACACACCCAGTGGCGAAGGAAATTACACTGGATGGAATATACCGGGTAACCAACTCAGTCCGCATTTCACCTAATACCTCTAGGGAAGTTATCTTCAGATGTGTCACCATACACGACAAAATTCAAATAATGACTGCCCTGAAAGGCAAAACGCCACTAGAATTTGAAGACGCCAAACTATTGTTTTTCCAAGACTTAACCAGGGCCACATTACTCAGACGCAAATCTTTCGGCTCGGTGACGACTGACTGCGCAAAGCCAACATACCATACAGATGGGGTAACACCGGCTCCTTTCTTGTCCATCACGCGGGGACCACCCACAACCTCAGCTCCCCAATGGCAGCCCTGGCCTTCTTGACTGCACTGGGACTTCACCCGGGACAACCTCACACTGCAGAAGATACCCAAACCACTACCCGGGACACAATAGTCAGAACCTCAACCGGCCAAGTGCCAAAGAACCAGCAAACTCAGAATACCTGAACCTGCTCTGGACTTTTATACAACAAGTGAGAGTCTACAGCCAGGAGTTACTCTGCTATTTCGTTATTGTATTACTTTGTTATTCTGTTCATGTTATTTTGCTTACATATCACTACCACATCAACTCACACATGCAAGGTATCCCACACAAGAATGCAACCACAACCCCAGAACACAAGGGGTCCACACACTTACTCCCGCTTACACAACAAACAAAAGGCCTGAAACCCCCAGGCACTACGAAGACAAATGGTATCCTAAAGGCCCCCCAACCATCCAATCCAGGCCAGGGGTAACATTATGCATGCCAGATCGCAACTGAAATACAATCCAGACCAACACATATGCGCACCGCGCACAGTACCTAGGAGATACACGCACCCTGGCACCACTTATGCACCAAGATAAAAACATAAGACCGCACATGCGCAAGCTGCTAGGCAACATGGTATCCTCCTGCGCCACAAGGGAGCGTCCACAACACCACACACCTGTAGTATCCCGGGAACGCAACACATACCATTTACCAGCCTGCTACAATTCAGCCAGACCCGGGCTTGTCCCCTAACATGGTCACAACACAAATGTGCTCACCACAAGCATTTCACTGTACAGTTTCAAACAAACCACAAATGTTACGTAAATAATTGAAACCGCTATATACGTGAAAACTGTAAACCCACGAAATGCCTAAACTACCTTAAATCTACAGCATCCATTTTGAAGCTGCATTCTTAGTGAGCTGTCCAGGAGTTGGGAGGGTCTGGGAGGGAGGGTCTGGGAGGGAGGGTCTGCTGCTGATTGGCTGGAATGTGTCTGCTGACTGTGAGGTACAGGGTCAAAGTTTACTCAATGATGAGTCCGCGGTGAACCGCTCTTGGCGAACCGTTCGCGAACCGTTCGGGACATCACTAACTGAACGAAATGTTAAAAATGTATTTACACATTTTTGCTTCTAATAATTTACACAAATTTAGTGTAACTAAATAAAAATAACTCAAAATAAAGTCACTATTCACAGTTAGTGTTGTGTGAGGGGTACATATAGGATATTAAGAGAAACTCTTTCAAGACTTTAAAAATCAATATATAATATTTATATGGGCAGTTGAAGAGAAAACTTTAAATTACAGTGGGGAAAAAACATAGCATAAATTCAAGGTTTTCTTTTGGTTCGGAACTTGGACAATTGCCTGTGCCCTTAAGGGGTTAATATATAGTAGCAGAAATTACACACAGATTTAAATCAGGATAAAATAAATTTACATGGATGACGTATTTTCTAAGATATTATGTAGAAGGAGAAAAACACGGCTCTGGACACACTTCATTTGGTTAATCCACTGATGTAGTTTAAGGTTTTTTTAATTGGTTCAATCCCCTTTGGTTCTTAAAATAAAATATGCTAATCTCATTCTCACCCCACTGTCCCTTCAATCACCAATTCAATTAGCCACACATTTGCTTTTCTTTTTGAAATATAGCAAGCTGTGCCATGATAATTTCACAAAGGTGTATTTTAACACATTTCATGAACAAATTTATTTCTGTTTCTATAAAAACATAAATGCAATCTGTCCAACAGATATAACATTACATTGTTTTTTTTATTTTTGATATAGATACAAATCCCTACACGGCTGACTTAAAAATTAACTGCTTCAATCCCAGGCTCCCAATAAAATCCCAAATATCTGGCCCCCAGATCAGATTGCCAAACAACAGAAAACACATTTCTTTACTGGAAAGTACTATAAATGGCATAACCTCATTTTGCACAGTACAGATGCCTACATGGTTTGCATGGTACAGTGCTGCTGAATATCAGACAGAGAGGGAGGAGGAGGTTTGGAAGTCTTGGCAAAAAAAAAATATTTAACCTTGGTAATACAAATATCTGATTTTAGAACAACATGCACATTTACAGACTGTGGGTTCCATGAATACATAATGTTGTAAGCAGTCAGGGGTGTTCTACATGAATGGCCCAGGGTTGTAATTCACAATTTTGTTGGGGGAATTGTACTTTCTG